TGAACTTCCAGAGCACGTCTGTATCATAAGTTTATATAATGATAGAACCACAATGGAATGCGGCGAGATCGACTTCACGCTTTCCTTCGTGATTGACAGGAATGTTGTTATCGGAAATCACGTCGTACAAGTGTTGAAAGGTAGCCTGGAGGGCTCTCGTTAGAACCAAGTATCTAGGTACTTGCGTGCCAGCCAATGTGCACAGCTGATCATGTGGCCTCCCCAGGCCATTCTTTAACCCACTCGACTAACTGCTTCAACACTCGATCCTGCACCTCTTTCACTCCCGCGTTGACCTTTCCGTTCTTCGTATTCAAGTCACTAGTGTGAACACCGTCAGGCACAATTTCCACTGGTACCTGCTCGGTACTCTGCAACGGACCTCCGGGTCTCCCTTTTGCCGAAACACTGATCTCTCTCCACGGGTCGAATTCGCCGTTGACGAAGATCAGCCGGCTTGTGTTGGTGATATTCCAGCCCCCAAAGTACGTATTGAAGTGCTCTTCGGTTCTCCCCGCTGCGAGACCATATGTTTCTCCATTCGGTCCAGGGGGGAAATATAGTCCGCACTGACGAACCCAGTAGTCTGTTGTTATGAGGCGAGAAATGAGCGATGGCCGTCCTGAGGGAGCGCCGACTTTCCAGTTTCCGAAGGGTTCGTTGCAGTTCATCCAGAACCATTGCCGGTTCATGGCGTTCCTCGGCGTTGTGTCGGTGAATAGTGGGGAGCTTGCATTGTAGGTATTGAAGCAGTCAGTATTACCTGTAGTGTTGAATTCAGGATAAAGATCCCCGGCGCAGTAACCGGGAAGTTCGACCTCTCTCCACCATTCCGCGTATCCTTCGAGCGCTTTATCGACACCAACACCAGCTTCAGACGGAAGGTCGTTGAGGGTGGCATTGACTGCGTTTTCAATATAGTCGCAGAACGTGAAGAAGCCCGTGTTGTAGGTGAACTGATTCCCTAGCCATAGATAGGGACCACGCGCTAGCGCGTTCATGAAGTCGTCGTTGTGAGCGACGTCTTGCATGCCAAATTTGGCCTTGAGTTCGTGTTGCTCATCCCGAGAGCCAGCGCTGAGGATATCATCCATATGGTCGATAATAAGAGAGATGTCTCTACTACAATTCTTCGGCATAGCTTCTTGTATAGGAAGGAAGTAGGCCCAATAGTCAGAAACAGATTGAACTGATGCACTCGAAGCGTAGTAGGCCCATATAGTGCCCGGGTCGAGGCTTGCAATCCACACTAGCAGGGCAGCGAAGTAGCTACCTCCTATAGCTACCCATGGAACATCTTTGGCACTACTGCCAATTCTCTCGTCGGTAGCGAAAGGTAATTGGACTTGACGTGCGAAATATGTTATATCCTTCATGCTGTTCTCGACAGTAAGGTACTTCAGGTTTTCAGTGGTGAAGTTACGGAATGGTGTGCTATCGCCCCAGTAACGGTGTTCGAGAACAATTGTAGCTGCGCCAATCTGCTCAGCCAGGGCTCCTGTTGCATGGCTGGGGGTTAAGAAGCTGTGGTACATAGTAGCGTTGACTTCTCCGGGCGAAAACAGTATCACCGGCGAACCGGGACCCCTCCAGTACGTTGTGTCGTAGTAGTAGAACTGGTCAAAAGTCCCCAGGTTAGGGTTGTTGTGGTCTATCAACTGTTTGAAAGTGCTGTTGTCGTAATAGTGTTTCTTCGGCAGTGGTTCGCTGCCTCTCACGGGTGGAGTACAACCCCAGCCTTAATCGGACGTTAATATATCCAGTTTATACTCTACCCATGTAAAGACTTACCTCCATAAGGACCGCAGTCATACCAGTCCTCGCCATGAGATTTGTCGGCATACCCGATACGAACGTGGTCTTTCTGAGCTTCAGTGGGAATCGAGAGAGCGGCTAAAACCCACAGTCCTTTCATGTTAGGCAAGATAGATGGAACAATTACAAAGTCTACTGGATGTTGCAATCAGCTGTAAGATTATTATAATCACTCTATGTACGTCAGCAGCATCTATGTGCCGAGTGCAGCCCGAATAGATGAGGTACCTAACGAATCGACAAGACAAGACTGCTGTTTTGCTTTCGTGGACCAGCCCCAGGTCTAAATTCGCCTGAAAGACCCCCACGACGACAATACATGTCTATTTCTCCGATGTGCACACCCTGTTGCGTTGTGTAATGATCGACGATGTCCCTAGGCAACTGAACGTCGCTCAGCACCCGGGCAGGTATTGTGGGCCACGCTCGCCTCATCTACAGAACTATCTTTGTTCATACTGCGGATCCGATCGATATCGAAATGCGTTTGACACCTGCTCGAGATCGCGCTCAGCTCTGTCTTCCAAGTCAGCGATCAAGAGAACGGCCCGTAGCGCTTATGTGGACGGCTCGTATAGTTCTAGGAAGAGGGGTAATGCGAGAGGTTCCTACATAGGCCCGAATTTTGCTTAGACGGTCGCAAGAAAACCCGAAGTGGCTGCAGAAAGCTTCCCGCGTCACCCTGCTGTTGGGAGTTTGGAGGTTGCCGGCCCGGGCCCAGGAGACGGGGCCCGTTGCTTGGCAGCGTTCTGATCGGCCGCTCACGCTCACGCGCACGGACACAAACATCGAAGCTTCACGCGCGCAGAAATCCTCAGATGTTTTCATGTCTTATTGAATGGCTCAATCTGTTTCGAGGCCCAGATTAAGTACATTATAATCATTGCTAACATAACATACACAGCTTCAGATCATGTGCTACGCGGCAATGCGGCTGCCTTGGGCATGGCTTCTATACTCCAGCCCGTACTGATCTCAATATCTCTTAATGCAGAGTATTCTTCTCCTAATTTAGGAGTTTGGCGGTTGATCGTATGTGACGAACTACACCACTTCCTTCCCGAATATTCTCCCGAACGACTACTCGTAATCGTCCCGCTCGCATAGCACGTGTCTTCTTTCATCCACTACTCTTGCATACTCTAACAATAGTCGTAGCCAGTATAGCTCCATATCTGCCTTACGGAGAACTCGGCGGCTCCAGATCGCCGCGCCCTCGCCAATTGCTGCGGCATGCCTGTCATGATTCTCACAACTCTTCCCTCGACAACATCCGCCGATAAAGAAGCAGAGTTTGTGCCAAAGGTCGGGAAGACTGCCGAGGTCAAAGGGGACGAAATGTTTGTACGGTATGAGCCGCGAGCGGTGCCATTCTTCGAAGATAGTGGCCTTCAACACTAGGGAGCCCGTCATGAGCAATGCGCGGAAACGAGCTACAACTGATGTTATGCCACATATCATCATTTGTGAGAACAAGAGTGCCTACCACTGTACGCGTTGCCATCAATGTCTGGTAGGTACTTGTACGTGGCCATATCAGCCATAGATGTATGCGCTGCAGTTCGGAAATGGTGATCAAGGTAGCTGCAGGCATCCCCCACGTCCCAGCCTCGCCCAGCGCAGCACAGTTGTGTAAAAGCACCGTCCAGATGCTCGTGCATCCATTCAAAGTGCGGTGGTTCGGGTGCTACTTGATTTAGAGAAGCATTGGCCCAGTCGATCTGACCACTGCTAATAGCCTCGAGAAAAGTGGAGTTCATTGACGCAACAAATCGATGGCGATGAGACTTCATCCAGGTCAAGGAATTATGTCTGCCACCGGTATTGGAGCCACGCCAGATAGCCTGCAGATACGAACATACGAAGTCAGCATATGTCTCATATGCATCTGATACAACCACAACTTACCTTGTTGCGCTTCTCTGACCACGCCACACCAATAGACGAGTTAACCAGATGTTCGGGGAGGGTAAAGCTTGGTATATCCACCCAGGTATGGAGGTCAGGGACCGTGATCTCGGCGCTCACGTGTCGTATGTGCGTTGCCGAGAAAATAGGAAGAAGGGTCGATGATGTCGACACAAGGTGAGGCGCCAGCATCGTGCTGTGAACAGCAGCCAACTCTGGTCGATTGCACACATCCTGAACAGCAGAATCCGAAAGCGGTACGCAATCGGTTGACGCATTTCTCGGAGGGCAGACAATGCTGCGCAAAGAGTATGGAGGGATTTCTACATGTAGTCCAAACTTTAGCTGGCGAAGCTTCGCATATGACGGTACCGCAGCTTACCTCGATTCCACCCTTTCACGACGTCTTCCGTTCTAGCATAAAGTGCTTTGCTGACCCCTCCATGAATATGACTTTGTGCGCCTGCTGAGCGAGACACTAATCGACTATGCTGGCGTGCCTGCTGTCGGGCTCTCTCCATGACGTCCCAAGGAACGAGCACACGAGGCGAGGCATGCACACTCACAGCCACGTCAATGTCTGGTAGCAACGGAGCGATTCGTCTGAGCAATCCCAGTTGATCGTCACAGGTCATGTCTTCTCTCGGGCAGTTGGCCCGGACTTCTCCACGTCGGAATGAGAAACCCTGGAGCCGTTCGATTTTCTTTTGAAGCCCGGCGAGAGAGACCAGCGAGGCCGCAGCAGTTTGCGTGGCCTGTGCTGTGATGCCCCAGAATGGCTCCAAGTCGTCATAGATTTGATCCCAGAATGGCTCAATTGATATCCCTTTCAACTGTTGGAGGCGCTCATGAAAGGCCCGGAAGCCTGGAGGTGGACATCGTGCGCGTCGGTGCCGATATGATTCTACCGCCTGTGCGTATGTGTGCGTTTCTTGAACCGCCAAAGACTGAAAGTAGTCCTCGGCATCGTTGATTGAACGCTCGAGAGGGTGCAACGGAGTACGCGTTCTTGGATACGTGATAGACACACTATATGTTGCAATCACAAGAAAAGCACACGCCAGAAGTCGGTAGTGTTGCATGGTCGTAGCGAGTACAGGCACGGTAAAATGTTCAGTGTGAAAAGAAGAACATTTAGATTCATTCTCATTCTTTTATTTCGAACCAAGTCGCCTTGTCCTCGACTCTTCCTTCGTCCACTAGAGCGGCCCGATCGTTCCCTGCTCTCTAACCTCTTCCAGCGCTGGAGCTGGTCCATGATCCTTGAACAGATAAACTTAGGTCTCACGCTTCTCCGATCCAGCGTCCGGCGCGGGAGCTGGTCCGTCATCCTTGAACAGATCGATGTAGGTGTCACGTTTCTCCGATCCAGCGTCTGGCGCAGGAGCTGGCCCATCGTCTTTGAACAGATCGATGTAGGTGTCCCGCTTCTCCGACCCAGCGTCTGGCGCGGGAGCTGGCCCATCGTCTTTGAACAGATCGATATAGGTGTCACGCTTCCCCGAATTGGCCCTTTCAGAGCGTTTGTAGGCGCCACCACCCTCTTCCGGCGCGGGAGCTGGCCCGTCATCCTTGAACAGATCCACGTAGGTGTCGCGCTTCTTAACGTCCCTCAATTCTTCTGCATGAGCTTCGACACTTAGTAAGTTTACTTTCTTATCCGTGGGTCAGGGAAGGACATACGCGAAGCGGTCGCTGCTGACAAGCCAGCCAACGCGACGAGAAAAATCAAACTCTTGTGCATCTTGGAAAATGTGCGTAAACGAGAATATGATAATCGTTTATGAGGATCCGTCTTGGACAATACAAGGCGTTTGTAGGGCGAAAGATGATTATTCTGTGGGGTTTCTGCTCAGCTATTTGTACATCACTCTCCACTGGTAAAGACATCGATGATCGAACACTTACCTGGTGATAGAGCTGCTCTTCTGCATCGTGACGCGGCCCGTCGAACTTACGAAAGAGCTGACCGAGCAGCAACGCATATCTTGAAAGCTTAAAGAAGTGCCATGAACCTGTACTCACTACGCTGGTTTACCATGCGATGACTATCCCTACTTGATGGGTAGTTTGATAGTAGTCGGCCGAGCCGTGTCTCGATTGAACATGATTGAACATTGATTGTAAGGTTTGTCACTTGCATAGTGCATAGTGAGGCTACCGATAGGACGTATGGGAGAGTGAGCAGAATAATGACGTATCTCAAGCTTACCGCCGAACTGCATACTGAACCGGAACTGCCGTGTTGTGACTACCTAGGTACCCCCACTCATTCGTTGGGATCTGTCAAGGTGCCTTCTGACCGAATCGGATACTTCGAAAGTGAAGCTATCGTCTATAACAGAATTATACTGCATTTATTTAGTAGGCGCTAATCGCTTCTATACACTTAATGTAACTAGATAGACTAAAGCTCTAGCTAATCTAACAACACTTTAGACAGGTATACTAGCTTAGTTTACCTCTCTTCTAGGCTAGCAGTTAAGAAAGAGGTATAAAGTAAGTAATAGAATAAAATAAGAAAGTAGTTTATAATTTTAAAAGAAGTAATAACTAAAATTTAAAGTAATTCTAAAGTAATAATAGTCTTTACTATATTAAATAACTAGTAATTAAGTAAAGTACTTATAGTATAAATTACTTAAGTATACTATATAAATATATATAAATTAGCGTTTTTATTTATATAGTTAAATACTTCTAGTATATACTTTTTATACTAGCGTTTAAGTACATATAAGCTAGTAGTAGTAGTACTACTTTTTTACTTTTTAGAAGCGTAATTTTAAAATTTATTTAGTAATATTAGTAAATAAGTTAATAGTAGATAAGCTATAATAGCGTTTTTAAAAATAAAAGTATAAGTAAAAAGTATAAGCTTAAAAATATACTATTTATATTTTAAAGTAATTATAGTTAAAAAATATATAGAAAGAGGTAGTAAGCGCAATTGTAGTAGCTTTAAACAGAATAAAAAGCGTAAGTATAGCAAGTGTAAGTTAAGTAGCTAGAACGTAGTAGAGATTTAGATTAATTTAAGTTATATATTAAACTATAGTAGCTAAAGAGCTAAGAGAAAAAGAGCTAATTAAGAGTATAGTTATAAGAGTATAGTAGTAAAAAGCGCACTTTAAAAGAACTTTGTTTAGTCTAAGAAAAGTATTATTAAATATATTCTAATAAAGTAAGAAAGAAATATATAAGTAAGCTAAAGTATATAGAAGATTTCTATAAAACTACCTAAAGAGGCTAGTAAGTATTATAAGTGTATACGTATATGTATAGTTACTAATTATATATAGAGAGATACTAGCCTATATAGATAGTAGATCTTATAAATCTAAACGCTAAGACTATTAAGAGGTAGAAGAACGTAGGCGTAAACTATAGAAGGTAGTTACGTAAGATATTAAATAAAGACGTTATTAAGTTATTTAGTAAGTTTATTAAAGACCTTAACGCGTAAGGTATATATATATATATATACGTATACGTGTGCGTATACGTATATATATACGTATACGTATATAAGATAGTTTATAGCTAATAGTATATATATAAAAAGTACTAATACGTTTATTAATAAGTAGCTTAAGAAGCTAGAAGACCTAAGAGACTAGATACTAATTAGAGAGAATAAAAGAGACAAGAAGTTTAAGAAGAATAAGAAGAAAATAGAAAAGGTTTATAAAGATTAAGTAGTAGTAATAAGAGCGTAGAATAGGTTAGAGCTATACTTACGTATCTTATAAGCGCCTATAAGGCGCGCGTAATATATTAGTTAAGTATTATATTAGTATAGGTATTTATATATAAGTAGTAGAGTAATTATACGTAATAGTAAGAGTAATAGTATTATAATATTACTAGTAATAGTATTTCTATAAGAGTAGCTAAATACAAAGCTATATTTAGTATATTAGTATATACGTGCAATGTAATATAATACGTGTAGTATAGAGTAATTAGATATTACGTAGTGCGTAAGGTAGCGCGTATAGATAAGCGTATAGGTATAGATAGACGTATAGGTATAGATAGACGTATAGGTATAGATAGGCGTATAGGTATAAGTGTATTATAAAGGTACTAGCTAAGTAGCTACCTAAGATAGTAGGCGCCTAAGGCGCTACGTAGTCTTAGTAGGCTTAAGAGCTGTATTAAGCAGGCGTATATAGGTAGGTTATTCTAACTTAGACTAGAGAGTCTAGGTTAAGAGCTCTAAAAAATATATAATTTAGAAAAGAAAGTTTAATATAGTAAGTATAATATTTTTAAAAATATCTAATATAATATATATAACTTCTAAACTTATATTACTAATATATAGTACTTAGTTAAGTAAATTAAAAAATATAATAAAGTAATATATAGTAATTCTACTAGAGTTTAGTAACTAGTAATTACTTACTTATAAAATACTAAATATAAAAGATAGATATCTAGTAATAGTTTTAAAAGTTAGCTTAAGTATATAGTATTAGTTTATTAAAAAAGTCTTAATAAATCTATTATACTAATTAATATATAGAAGATTTTATTATATTATAGTTATAGTAGCTATAGTAGCTAAGAGTAAAATAAGTAGTATAAATACTATTAGAAAAAAATATATTAAAGCTATATAAATAGTAAAAAAGTTTATAAGTAAGCTTATATTTTAGTAAGTTATATATCTTAAATATATATAAAACTAGTTTAAGACTTTAGCTATTACTCTATTAAACTTTTAAATCTACTTTTAGTTTATTAGCGTACTATATAAAAGTTTAGTTAATATAGTACTACTAATAAATTTATCTTTATTACTTTACCTATTTCTAGATATATAGAATATAGAAGTAGATTTATAAAATTTTTAAAAGTAAAACTAGCTAAGCTTTAAAAAGCTTTAAGAATAGTATTATATAAACTTTTTAGTAAAGTATAGCTAAATTTTTTAAACTAAGCTATTAATAAATTTAGTAACTATAAATTTTATAAGTAAAAAACTTAGCCTAGTCTTAGCTTAAAGTCTAGTTCTTTTTTTCTATATATTAGTAAACTAATTATAAGTTTTATATTAGCTATACTTTTAAAGTAAAGAAAACTTATCTATAGTATAATAAAAGATATATAAGGCGTAGTAAAAAGTAAATAGTAAGTATTAAAAGCTAACTAAATATAGTATATAGACATTAGATATAAAAAGAAATTAAGTTAGAAGTTATAAGCTAGATAATAAGCCTAGTAAAAACTTTAGAAATAGCTATTTTATTTATATTTACTTTAAATATAGTATATAAAGATAAAAGATAGTATATATACTTTAGAGACTAGTTAGTAGCTACTTAATAAAAGCTATAGTATATAATATTATCTAAAACTATTCTATAAAGGCTTATAGCTCTTAAAGTTATAAGTTTATTAGTTCTAGCTATTATAGATTAGTAGAAATAAAAAGAACTTTTAGCTATAGATAATAGCTATATTATTAAGTGCTAATATATTAATCTTATTAGATAGAAGGTAGTAACTATTTAATATATTATATATCTTATTATAAAAGCTTTATATAAAATATTCTAAAAGTAAGTTATATAAAAAAATATATTTATTAATAGTAAAGTTATAAAGTTTAAGTATAAAGTAAGAATACTAGAAAAAGTAATAGTTAAGTTTTAGGTAGATTAAGTTATCTATATAGTAACTAAAGTAAATAGTAAATAGTAATTCTAAAAGCTTAGAAATAATATTATATTTAGATAATAATAGCGCTAAAAGTATAATAAGTAATAAAAGTAATAAGTAGTTTATATATCTTATATTTAGTACTTACTTATTACTTTATACTTAGGTAGTTAACTTCTAAGTAATATACTATACTAGATTACCTAGCTAGTAATAGTATAGAATAATAATATTAGTCTTATAAATTTCTACTATAATCTTATTAACTACGCGTCTAGTATTACTTATAGTATAAAGCTCTAAACATACTATAAGATCTTCTAGACTAGACTTTAGTATAAGCTACTTTCTACCTCTACTTTTATTAATAACTTTATTTAGCTTTTATAAAATAATAATAATCTACTTTTTATCTAACTAGTTATACTAGCTCTATAGCCTATAGTAGATTTTTTTAAGAATCTAATATTACTAGAAATTAAAAGCTAAATTAAGCTAGACTATACTATAATATAGTTACTTAATAGCTACCTCTAGCTATATAGTACTAAAACATACGCTTATTTTCTAAAAAAAAAGTAAATACTATAAAAGGCTAAGCTATACTAAGCTAGTCTATTACTTTATAGTTATAGTAATATAAATAAAGTATAAAGATAGAAGCTATAAGAATAGCTAGCTATATACTCTATTAAAGTAACTACTACTTTTATTTTATTAACGTAGTAGCCTTTTAGTATACTTAGTAAGAGTAAGTAATATAAAGTAGTATCTTAGGCACGTAAGGTAAATTTAAGAATAACTAGAGAATATATCTATATATATATATAGTAGTATAGACTTTTTATTTAGTAAAAGGCTCTACTCTATTTATTTTTATAATCTAATATAATAGTAACTTTTTAATTAATATTCTACTTAAAGTAATATTCTACTAAAGTCTAGTAGAGTTTAGCTACTATACTTTAATAACTATATAAAAAGTATAAGTTACTAGATCTTATTAGATATATAAAGCTATTAACTCTAGAGAATTTATAAAATAATATTTATAACGCGCTTTATAAATTATTA